AACTTGACAAATACTTAATGGATTTAAATATAAGTTGACTCGTACTTCTACCATGAGTCGATAGAGTTCGTTGAAAAATATATGTATCGCAAATTGTACCCAACCTCTAACGGTCTTAGGATGTGCATAATTAATTACGTAACTCCATTTGAAATTGGATATTCGAACTAACCTTTACCACTACTATACATATTATATATATGGAAAATAGTTGTTGTACGTGTGACCTGAAAGATGCATTATGACATATTGAAAAGCATGTCTTGCATATACTACGGATACTGCACTCGATTTATGATTGCAATAAAGCGATGTCACTCATTTCGTGCAATCGTCATTCATTGATATGCGACTTAGCCTATTGCAAAGAAAGAATACACGATCTATAGAAAACACGTCATTGTAAGCAGGATATTGAAATAATTACAATCGGACTTATGCAACTAAATTATCACATTGAGTTGAGAAGAGTACACTTTAAAATTGTAGATAATCAAACTCTCTGAACAGGGATAAGTTCTCTATTAAGAGTACTTTTATCAAGTATCCTATATAAGTTTGTTTTGTCATATGAGCGACATACATAAAGCTTAGGTGTCTTGTATTTTTATGAAGTGTTGCGCTTTTACAGCCTTTTAAAGTTAGATATGCCGCGAACAAAACTATAAACTGTACTAGACATCTAGCTCGTAAATTACTCTTGGTTATTGTAAAATACATATTAAGTTTATGGAAAGTGGACATCAAACATTACTTCTAAACTAACAACACGTGGGAAAAAATATTCTTAATGAGGTTTGTATTAATAAACTGATGTGTGGTTAAATTATTTGTATGCGAATGTAATAGTATGATCTCATTGGTAAATAACACGAGGAGATGAATATGACGACATCGAACGTTCGTTTTAATACGACCTCGGGCGTCCGGGTCAAAAACACTACTATGGACTTTATGACCACGCCAAATGATCGAGCTTCGTAGGTTTGTGAGCAAATATTACTTGCAAACGAAAATAAATAACAATAGATTGTATTGTACGCAAATAGGAACATTGAAAGTGAAAAAAAGACTCGAGTGTAATTTGTATAATATCATTTAAATATATAATAATTAAAATTTAAAATTTAATGAAATCCAAAGAGATTGTATTTTATTTTCAAATGTAACAAGCTGAAAACCTGTCTTGAAAATTTGAAATAAGCGCCCTTATTTTTTTCACTGCTTTTTTTTGACAAACGATTTTGAATCTTTTTTTTTATCGCAAGTCAGGATGACGTATTCATTAAGGAGGCGGCATTCAATTTAATAAAAAGTTTTCACTATTTTGAAAAATACTGAAAACTTTTTCAAACGTTTTATACTTCTAACAAAATGTAAATGGCAAATGAAAGTAACTCGTTGATATATATATAATGTTCCAAATTAGCAATTCTATTTTATTTGGATTGGTGTAGGTCATCCATTATGAATCACAATGTCACCTTACTTGTTATCGTCTGTCGTGCACATATTTAATGCTACAAATATCATTTCTTTTCCTAGCCATAACTATAAGACTATACCTAGACACAAATGCAATAAGTAGGTACCTACCTACACTTGTTGTAACAACGTCGTAAAAACGAATTAGTATTGAATAGGTAATTCTCTAATATTCATTTACGAACAAATTAATGACGAATTAATGTAGGAGTTAGTAATAAACCGTGGAACGGAAGAAGAATTTAGAGAGACCTATACACAATAGTGGGACATATTTGAGTTCTTATAGTACAACAAAGCATGTAAGACTTTGTTTATTTTACACTTTTCACAATTTTGTTGTTCCGTAAAAGTGCAATTTGTTCAGTCAATCGAGTCTTTTTGAAAGAACTCTATTGAATTCTTCCTCATTTTCTTACAATTCTTACTGTGTAAGGCTAAGTTCACAAAACGGTATTGTTTAATTTCCTTTCCAAAGTGTTGTAAAGATATTAGGTACTTTTGTACTAATAATTTTTTGTTCGGGATATTAGTTTACGATCGTTGAAATTTTGCTACGACTAACATTTAATGTTTTATTATTATTATTATTATTATTATTATTATTATTATTATTATTATTATTCTATGGGGTACAAAAACGTTTTATAGTTTTAGTACCTATGTATAGTAAGTACACACCTACTCAATATGTTTATATGCATAACCTTCTTCTATAACCATCCTTTGTTTATAGTATTCTGGTTTAAATGTTGTTTCGTGTTATTAAAAAGCAATCCGCATCTATTGCACCACATTTAGATTGAAAGGCAAATAAATTGACCCTCTGAATAAACTTCGGACTGTCAGAATCAATCGCTTTCAAACCAAATAGACCAATTTACACAAGGCCTTTTCGCCAAGAATATGACGAAGATTTTAACAGTACTACCTGTAAATACATCTACGTTATGACAATAGGCGGATCTTTAATTACCACGTGAATGATTATAATGTGTTTTAACTTTATTGTTATATGGTCTGTTTTCTGTAATTAGATAATCAAAATGGCATATGGGGGACATTCACATACTACGGAAAACACGTTTCACTGCCTTTAACCTGTTAAGTACTCGGCAGGCACCTATACAGTACAAAATTAAATGTATAAGGAGGGACAATTTCATCACGTTACAGCACTGCAAAATAAATCAAATGATATCTGGCTACACAAACAGTTATACTGAGGATCGTGTTTCAAGGTTCGATACTATGGAACTGGTATGCTGATTCAACAATACGATCGTAACCTGTGTACTTGCCTATTAATTACTAACGTTGTTTGCACACAATGTATTGTGTTTCCGAGCGCCATAAGTTTAGGAGTAAGCACTACGTGACCGTCACTTGACACTGACACATTATAATAAGTCTTGGAACTGTCCGTTGGTGGTTCCGTATCTAAAACATCCAACGGATTAAAGTATGCATGCATGTGCACTATAATTGCCTTCGCATACTCAATACATGGATTGTCTAAAAACTTTCGTAGTCACTTTTTTGTGGATATTCAACATAATCCCATGGTACCCCAATACAGGTTAAGGTACATTGTTGCGTTTAAAGTTATAATTTCCGATTGACTAACATTTAAATTAAAAAAAAAAAAATCAGGTAAGGAATCCTTCAAGTAATACTGTTAGTAATATTATTATTGTGTAAATGTAAAAAGTTTCCCACGTAAAGAAATAACACTTGATGTTGCAATTTCACATTCTACTGATTAGGCAAATTAATGCAATTATACCTACATGAACTTCACCAGTTTGTCTTAAATATATACTAGTTTCCGCCTGATAATAAAAATATTGTTTATTCAAGTTATTTCAATGAACTTCCCAAAGACCTCATGCCTACTTTGTAAAACAGAAGAGTGTTCCTGCAGCCTATAAACTTGGTTGTGGGCAACATAGCGCATAACACTAAAACCGTCAAACGGGTTTGCAACGAACGAATGCCATAATAAAAAGTTGTTGGAGGGACTCGCCGAACGACCGTGTTGACGACAACATGAGCAAAGCGATAAGCGTATAACGTCAGCTTTGCCTTTATCTAATATTTCCTAAAAATATATTTCATAAGTTGCTACTTACAATATATTTTTTCTGTCCATATCCAAAACACAACTGTTACTATATTATATTTCTCAAGTTTAAAACGTCACTGCAACTCGCCGCTTAGAGTTGTTTACATAGGTAGGGTATCCTTGTACCTACATATCTACATTAATATATGAAGTATTTTCTAGTTACACTTTGTACCCCGCTTATCGCCAAGTTTATCATCATGGTAGTGGCTATATTCGGTTCAGACTCAGTCGATTGGTCGAACCAGCTCTAAAATTGCAACTTTTTGTGCGCTCCACACCGGCCACTTCTTTTTTTAGCACTTCCACGCCAAAATCCACTTAGACCTTGGCCAAACTTAAACAATATTTCCTACTCAAATACTTGAAAACTTAGCATATAAATTTACTGAATATAATACATAAAAAAGATACTAAAAACTAAAAGAATAATTGAAAATGTAATTCTATTTTGATAAGGATATTTAGATCTTGCTTAGGCTCAAAATTCAAAACAAGCCAGATGAGACATAGTTCACTAGTAACTAGTTAGATTAGGTTAATAGTCACTAATGAGGTATAATTAGTGCCTTATTATTTTATATTGTATATTATTATACCTACCGAAGGTTTAATGCCTATTTTACTGTTTTATGATATTCTGGACTAAATCATACCTAACGACGTGAACCTGCTTCTCTTATTGAGAGCCCTTTTTAGGAAACCACTAATAGGTACATAAAGAGCACGTCAAGCTTGACACTTCGGACTTGGTCCGTTTTTATCGTAAGCGGCGTAGAGTTGAATTTAAATCTCAAGTATACTACCAAAAGTATGCGCTTATAATTATTTCACAATAGGTATTTTATTTGTTTGCCATAGTTTGTGGATAGGATAACCCACACTCACCAAGTAGTCTTGGAAGTTTTTTTTATTCAGAAACTTTTGTTTTGGCGCGAGCTCATGAAAATAGTCGAGTATCGGCGAAAGAATCCGAACGCAACCGAATTCAAACGAATCTCGCTCCAAAACGTGATCGCACTGTTTGATTTGAAAACAAAATTCACCCGCCCGCCGCCGGCTCAGTGCGCGAGCAAGCGTGATACGGAATGAACGTGTGGTGCGTTTTGCGCGGACGTTGACGCTGCGATTTATTTTTTTTATCTTGCGATTTATACAACCAGAATCACAACGTTTTGGAGTATAAGCACGAGAAAAAGAAAAAAGTTTTTATTTTTAAAAGTTGACTTCGACGCAGTTCGCGCAGAATATTGGCCAAAAATTGCAATTTCCGTATAGACGCGAAAAATTAGTGAAAAGACATTTCGAAAAAACAAAGGACTGTTTTGTACATTTTCGCATCTTTGGCGAAATTGTGTTCAAAAAATACGGATCTGGCTCAATCGTGGAGGGCTTAGCAAAAAGTTTTCGCCGCCCTTGGCCAACTAGTTCGGACTCAATCTGTGGTCACCGAACGAATAAACAAAAACGAATCGATTTTGCTAATTTACATCAACTGTATTTACAAAGGTTTTCATAAAATTCTCGTTGAAACTACCGTGAACTTTTAGTAAACAACCTAAAATTATAGTGAGTTCGTCGACCTTACATATCCGTGCTTCAGTGGATCAGTTTGCAGATTTCGTACAGAAGAGCATCAGCAACTAGAAACCTGGAATAAGTGACGAGTTGATTTACAATGTCTACTGCCATCATGCATCAGTCTGCGCAGTACGAATTTGGTGATCTGTTCTTGAAGGTATGTTATTCTATTTATTTTGCTTTATAAGTAAGTTAATAGCTACGATACTGAACACGGTATTAATGTGTATATAGCCCTAGGGCTCTTTGCCTTTATGCCTAACAAATCTCACTAAAGAAGGTAGGTAGGGTGAAGTAGTAGTTTCTTAAATAGCCAATTGCATTTCACGACTAATCTAGCAAAGACTGCGAATTTACAGGAATAGCATAATTTGAAACTTAGTAGGTAGGTCGTTAACACACGACAAAGATAGATGTACCTACATTTTGTTATGTTATGAAAACAAAGTAAGCCAAAAACATTTTAAATTGTATTTTTTATCATGACTTCAGTTTGCAAATTCCAATAATTTCTGCCTGACTTTAGTTAATGTCTGTCAAAATAATTTGACATATTACTTAAACTTAACAGTAGGTAATATTATTTATGTTTGCAAACAATAGATACTTAGTTTATTTAGGTATAGTACAATACAGGTAATGTTTTTTAAAAATTCACAAGGCCATATACATTAATAAAATAACCTCTTGGTTTACCAGTCTTATTGCAACATGGTATCAAGGTAGATAACCTGAATTTATAACAAAATACTAGAAAAACAACTCAGTAGTTATAGGTGTAAGTATATAAGAACAATACACATGGGTAAGTACTTTAAGTTTCTGTTTATGTATGCAGCATACTTGGTAGGTACAGTTAACCACGTGTTAAGCTTTGCACTTAGGACCAACATATCATAAGTGCATAGAGATTAATTTAAATCGTGTTTTAATACCTACTAGTGCCTATAAACTAAGCGTTTTTATTCCTAATGTAAATTGCTATAACTTCATAGGTCTATGAATTTTTAGATTGTTCGATCCTATTTCCTTAGGATTTAATTACATGTATGATGTTGTGTTGTGCAATGAACTGGCTTCAAGTTTGATGTTTGTTTAATAGTAATAATATAATAAATAGCACAAGAAAATATAAACACAAAAATTACAATAATTAGTAAAGTTTATTATTAAATGGAACAGTGAATAACTCTGCCGTTTTCCTATTTGCACATTTATAATTATTTAAGGTAGGTATTGTTAGTGCTCTTATTATGAATAATATGAGGTTTTGGAATTTATTAATACTGCAAATAGCAAATTTTAGAAGATATTTCTTTCAGTCTCCAACTATTGTTGTCTTATATTTTCATGTTTTGCAGCATTTTTAACAATTTTACCAACTTAAGAACATAATTTTACATACCTAAATGTTGCAACTGTCTGAAGACTCCAAAGACTGTTATGATATTTTTCTTATTGTAAGTAAATGGATGTGGAAAAATAATTTTAAATTCATATGAAATGTGGTTTTTAACACAATCTGTACCTATGTGTCCTACAGCTGGCCAAATTTTATAATAAAATAATACTAACTTGTTGAGCCACAAGCCAAATAGGTACTTGGTCAATGCATTTTGATTATTTAGAAAAGACATGTCAAAACGACGTTCACTAGTAATTACCAGATACAGGAAATAACTATAACCTGTTAAGAATTGCCCGGGTGCGCATCGCGTTGCCGTGTTGCCGGTTGCGAGACAGGTTATGTTGGCATTGCACTGTCCACATAAAAATTACCCACACAAATATCAGAAAGAGGTTCCTGTAACTAAATCTGTATAATTTATAATCACGCAATAATATAATAATGGAACAATAATAATTATGGAACCACCGTGTATGTATGTTGCTGCTGTGTACGAAATAACCCACCCGAGTATTTTGAACGCTGGACCTTAGCCATAGTTGATTCAATTAATCTTTACCTTCGGTAAACTTTTGTTATTCCTTTTAAAACCATAGCCACCAGCCAACTCTCTCGACGTGGTATGATCATTTTCGAATCTCTGCAGGGGTGTACAGTGGTTAAGTGGGTATGGCTCTTGTTATCGCTTCATCTTTCCTTGAAACTAATCTAAAGTCGTTGTAATAAAGATCATAATCGTTCGTGATGACTCCGCATGGAGCATATGTAGAACTGAGGGAAAACCAGTTCTATTAGCTAATTCACATGGTTATAAATGGTTTGCTTCGTCTACACGTACCTGCTCACTTTTTGTGATCTTTTTCTTGCGTAAAACACACTTGTTGCTTAGGGTTGCTTCGTAATGTTCGGCATGTATTTTGGGTAAGAATAATACATAGATAATTCTAGGGTCAAAAGTCGAGGGATTTGTTTGGAAGAGTACAATGTAACTTAGTGGCCAATTTAAATTCGTCCATTTTTTTCAATGCAAAATAATTCCGAAACTATTTAATGAGTTTCGAAACAAATTCAATCAAAATCAATTAATCAAAATCAAAGTCAATTATTTCAAGAATAAATTTTATTGATTTGATTTCTTTTCTTACTCCCCACAGCTTTAGTAACTTAATACATACGAGTTTCTTACCTTATATTCAGAATGAGAACGTAACATATTGCCAAATACATATTCTTGCATAAAATGTCGTATTCGTGTAGACATTGTGTAACACACCCGTCTCTATAAAATTTAGTATGCGACCAATTTCAACGTATTCCTTGGGATAGTAGGAATTTTTAAAGGTGTATCGCCAATTTTTATTTTATTTTAACTGTTCGAGACCTCCAAAAAGTCTGTTAAACACGTGAATACACCTACAATTTCTACCTGCTGCCTATTTACAAATACAATCACTCGCTATTATGCAGGGATCTTTTTTTGTGCCACTCTTACCTCCGCATAAAGGATCTTTTGTCCTCTCTTCGCTCTGCGTCTATTGGTGGCAGGGTAGATAAGTTGTAGGGGATCTTTTTGTGCTGATTTACAAGGGACCTTTAGTGCAGCCCTTAGGCATTGAGAGACAACAGGTTTTATGTATGTACCTACAATTTTGCTGAATTGCTGAGAAAAAATAAGTTAAAATGAGAAGTGGTTTTTACCGTGTTCTTACTTTTAATGTTAGTTTCCGCAACCGAAAAGGTCATTTACTTATGCATAAGATTTTCAACATTTTACTGCATGAATTCATCGTAATTTATGATTGACTAGGTAATTCGGGCTTGAGGTCAGCTAGTATGTTTACCGATTATTAGTTGGTCAGTAAGGCATATAATCATGTGCGGCGACCGAGCGTGAGTACTTACACGCAATTCACTATATTGCTAAAGATTTATTAAGAACATTAACTAGAGGAAGCCATAATATTGAATATGATAAAACTTTTTTGTTTTGTTTATTTGTCAACATTTCCGCGATATCGTCACTAAACTCTAATTTTTAATTTCTAGTTTCCTCTCTATGTTTGGTCTGCGGAAATGAGTGGGAAATAGTAAAAAGTATCAATTATAAATTCTTTTACCCAACTACAGCATAGCCAAAAGAGGTGTTGATTTTAACAGCGCATGTATGTGTGTAATCTGTGACAAAAACTTTTCTTATATTCTGTAAGACTACGTTCTCACTATATACTGTGATTTTCCTTTCTTATATCTTTTTGTGGCTACTTTGTTCGCACTACAACATTAGCTACAGTTTTGTGTTCGCTATGTAGTTTTCCAGAAAAGCAATAAAGTAAGATTACGCAGAACCGTTTCTAAAATTAATTTCGAATCCAAATCAATTTAAGACTTCCCTCGTGTTTTTATTATTTTATCATCATCATCATTATCATAATACAGCCTGACTTCTGAATTTAATTAATTAGCAATTTTTGTGTCGTAGTCGGGTTTTCGTTTTATAACATTATTTTTTATTAATGTCGTCGGATGTCAAAACAATTAAAGCACAGGTAGTACGTCGTCGTGTAGCGCCGCGAGGTCGTCACGCGACGAGATTACCATTCCACGTGTGCCGATAAAGGCATTGTGTTTACTGCACCTACCGACACATAACACCGCCGAAATGTTGTTGCGCGTCAGCATTGTAAACTTCCGCAAAAATACCTGTGACCTTATGACCGTCTTACCGCATAGCAAAAGCTCAGTGGTCAATTTGATACTTTCATATTTGATGCGTTCATTCAAAATCGTTGCGAACACGAGGTTCCATATTCGTCAACGGATTCGAAGGTCGTTTATTGTTTTGTTTTCGTAGCGTTCATTGAGGTTTTGAGAGTTTTGTTGAGACATAAGAAACAGAAGAAACTAAGAAATTTTCTTAGTTCCTAGTTCCTCATTCTATGATGTTTCCATCGTTAGTTCAACTTAGAGTTGATAGTTTCTACATTGTGATATTGCTGTGTAAATAAATATACAAACTTTCCACACTTTTCGCAATCTAAACTCGAAAGGTTTCTTAAACAGCCGGTTTAGCCTCACAGTCGCCATGCCGTTTCCCAACACCTAGTTGTTGCAGAAACCTTCCGAGTGCAACGCAAACAATACGCTCTGATCGTGGGAGCTCAGTAGCCAGCATTCGTTTGTACAACACAATAAGTAATTTTAGAATATTTCCTCTCATGCTCCATCGGCGAAATTCGATTCGGCGTGGGATTTCAACGAGTCAGTGGGCTTACTGTTACTATCGTTTGCAAGTTGAGTGCCTTTCAATTGTCAGCAATATAAACAAGTACTAAATATTTAAATACGACCCTTCAATAAACAAATATTTTATAAACAACGAATACTATTAATGAAATGAATAATAAAATGAAACATCCACTTGTCCGTGGAAAACCCTACGATAACGACAATTACAACCGGTCCTCACTAGCACTTTGACGTACGAGGCTTATTGAAGCAGTTATTGGTCAGTGGAACGTGCTGCGCGTGTAAGTAATTACATTCCAGCAATCATAATGATCATATCGTCTGTCACAAGAGTTGTCTTGAGATTTTGCAAGACGAGATTCGTCTTAACTAGATGATTGTATTCGGGCGTCGGGGCAAGAGGGCAAATAGCGAACTGCGTAGGCCAGGTCCAACGGTCGTCTTGTAACCGCCACTGAGTACTATTTTTAGCTCAGTCCTTTCTCCGTCAAGAGTCCGGACGT